CCCGCTTGGAACCAGCGACATTCTTTCAGAATTAGCGAACTTCTTTTTTTTTTTGTTTTGTTTTTGTTTTTACTCACTGAAATAAAGCAGCGAGTGATGAATTTTTTACAAACAAGCACAAGTGTTCTTCTCATGAGTGGATATCTCTACGCACCTAACACCAGTAACCAAAAGAGAAAACATACCTCACTTTTTTCTCAAACTTTTTTTTAGTTTTCTCAAACTGTTTTATTTCCGTATTAAACGCTTACATTCAGTGAAAGAACACGGGCAAGGATGCGTCTTTTTATAAGCAAGTGTAAGTGTACTGTTCTAAAAGTGGCTATTTTAGCACCTCAATGCACTACACAAAGAAATACGCCCTCATAACATTTTTTTCAAAGGAAGTGTGTTACCTTTCTACTGTGTCAAACGAGTCTGTTCAGTGAAAAGAAAAAAGGTGATGGGGCATCTTTTGAAAAGCCAGCTTACACCGGTCTCGGTGGCTCAGCCTGTGATCCCGCGCCTTGGGGAGGCTGAGGTGAGGGGATGGCCTGCGCCCGCGGGTTCGAGACCCGCCTGGGCAGCGAGACCTCCTCGCTACCATCAATCAAAAAATCAGCCGGGCGGGGTAGCGCGTGCCTGTCATTCCGGCCACTCGGAAGGCTGAGGGGGAAGGATCGCCGGAGCCCGGCAGGCGAGGCGGCGGGGGCCTGGGAGCGGCCACTGCACTCCCGTCTGGGCGACAGAGGGAGACTCCAACTCAAAACAAAAAAAAAAGCAAACTTAATTGTACTTTTTATAAGTGGATTCCTCTCTGTGCCTAAATGTGCCACCCAGAGACTATATTCTCGTAACTTTTTATCAAAATGAGCATGCCAATTTCTTATTGTGTCTCACTCTTCCATCTTCCACTAATTAAAAGAACAGTTAAGGAGGAATCTTAATAAGCAGGCCTAAGTGTACTTTTTATGAATATATATTTATAGTCATATACATGGTGCTAATGGTACTAACCCAAGACAGAAAAATGTTTGGCTAACTTCAAATTAACATGACCTTCTAAACTCCTTTTTGGGTGTCAAATTTCCCCAAACATTAGTAGAAAACAGTATATGATACATTTGAAAGAATGCAATGTTCCAATTGTCTATGACTAGATATTATACAGAACTTTGAGGGAATAAAGTTTTAAAAGTTCTGTCAAGCCGGGCTCGGGGGCTCAGCCTGTCATCCCGCGCCTTGGGGAGGCAGAGGTGAGTGGATTGCCTGAACCCAGGCAACTTGGTGCGACCTTATCTCTACAATAAATCAAAAATTAGCTGGGTGTGGTAGCGCATGCCTGTAGTTCCAACTACTTGGAAGACTGAGGCGAAAGGATCGCTGGATCCCAGCAGGTCGAGGCTGCGGTGGCCATGAGCATGCCAATGCACTCCAGTTGGGCAACAGAATGAGACTCCAACTCAAAAAAAAAAAAAAAGTTCTGTCAACATAGAATGCTCTCGTGTGCCACAGAAAACTCTCAAATGCAAAACTCTTCCATTCACTGAAAGAAAACAGTTACTGGAGTCTTTTAAAAAGTGGCCTTAAATGTACTTTTTATGCACCTAACGGCACTAAGCAAAGAAAGCTAGATGTTCTACTAACTTCTCAAATTCAGAGAGATACTTTTTTCCATGCAGAACTCTTTCAGTAACTGAAGTAAAGCAGTTGATGTATCTTTTTAAAAGCAGACTGAAGTGTACCTTTTATTAATTGACATCTCCATGTGTCTAAATGCGGTCCCTAGGGAGGGAAACATGTTCTCATAACTTCTTTTCAAAGTAAGTTGGCTAATTTCTTAAAGTGTAAAACTCTCATCATAGAAAAAAGAGGTAATGATGAATCTTTTAATAAGCAGGCCTAAATGTACTTTTATGTGTAGACGTCTATATGTGGTGCTAATGACCCTAATTTTTAAAAAAGTGCTTTACTAACTTTTTTTATTTTAAAGATGTAGGGTATAATTCCAGATTAGGTATACAAGTGGACATCTTACAGGTAAAGCTTGAGACTCCCTTTGGTCCCCACTTTGCCTGGTTTGAGATCA